TTTGCTGCATCCTCATCCTCATCCTCCCACGGGGCCTGTGCCCCCCAACCATCCTGCATCCCTCAGGAATGGTGAACACAGCTGTGCTGGGTTAATGGCTGGACTTCATGACCTCAGAGGGCTTTCCCAACCTAAAGGATTCCATGATTCTGCCAGGAATTTCCTTTTCCCAAGCAAACACACTGGTGCTGAGCCACAGCACCAAACCTGCTCCCCCACCTCCCAAGCCCCTGCCTGGAGTTTCTTGCCTCCAAGGCTCAGCTGAGCTGTTCCCTTTCAGGGATTTGGGGTGTTTGCAAAGTTTGGAAAACCCCAAATCAGCCCCTGCACGAGCCCCTGCAAAGGCCCAGCCTGGGTTTACATAACTCCAGGGATTTATGCAATTTTGGGAAGCACAGCAGCAAAGCAGCTTTTCCTTTCCCTTTCCCCATGACCCCCCCAAATATTTTTACCTGTTTTTCTTTTCCAAGGAAATCACAGTAATAAACACCTTTTTGCTCTTACCTGTGCCCCCTTCACAGTGAGATGACATTCTGTGCTTTTGGGGTCTTCAGTCACAATTACAGGTGGATTTTTTCCCCCCTTATCCTGCAGTTTCCCACACACAGCCCTGCTGAAAGCAAACCTAGAAAATTCCCAGGTTTTGTCCCAGTTTAGACCAAAACAGGACCAGGTCCAGATTGAAGCAGGGGAAATTCAAGCAGCAGCTTGTCCCAGCTCGGAGGACAAGGATATGACCAGTGGATAAAGCTGTTTTTTCCTTAAATAAAAATAATTGCAGGCACCACACCTGCAGCTGAAGTATGGTGGTTTTCAAATCCCATCTTCCTCTTCCTCTCACGTCTCTTGGGTTGTCACTTGAAGACCAAAAAGGGGAAGAAACTGCCTGACCAACGGTGAAACCAGCACACAAACACCTGCAGGCACAGCCCAAAACCCCTTTCTCCAGCTTTATTTTTTTTACTTACAACTAAAATTCTCTCAAAAGACAAATTGTTTAAAAATGTGGGCTTTTAATCAAGTTGAGTTTCTGTCCTTCCCTCCTCCAGCTTTGCAACAACGTGGGTTTTACCTCCCTCTGAAAGCACACGAGGACACCAGTGAGGAATTTGGGGGTTTGGCCACCTCAAAGAGAGACTGAAAGTATTGAAGAATTAAGAAGAGAAAAGTTCTTTTGGAGAAAGCAAGTGACATCATAGAATTACAGACTGGTTTGGGTTGCAAGGAACCTTAAAGACCACCTAATCCAACATGCAGGGACACCTTCCACTAGCCCAGGTTGCTCCAAGCCCTGTCCAACCTGGCCTTTAATTTCATATAAAATATCCCAGGAAAATGCAAATGGCCACAGAGCTGCTTTGACACCTGCAGAAAACACCAGCCCAGGTCCTTTGCCTGACACCCACTGGAATATTTTGGAACTGAGTTTTCTTTGTTTGCTGTTCAAAAGGAACGATTAACAATAAAAAAAAATAACAATTGAGCTGATTTTTCAGTGAGTGCAGCAACACAGGGTGCAGGAGCATCCCCATCCTGCCTGGGAGCAGGGAAATGGGAATGCCAGGAGCACCAGGATCATCTTCTGCCTGAGCAGGTGGCTGGATCCAGATGTTTCCCAGCTGTGATTTAATAACTGGGATATTTTCAACATCCTCAAGGACACCCACTGACCACACCAGGAGACACCAGTGATGCTCAACAGGATTTCACGTTTATTACTGAGAAGTGATTAATGGTGAAAAGAAAGGCAACGCCCATTCCTCGTTGGCTTAACAAGAAACTGAAACAAAGTCACTACACATTTTTTTTTACAATTATTTCTTCCTTGGTTTGTTTTTTTTTTGGTGCTTTTTTTTTTTTTTTCCTTGTCCAAAATTTTAAATTTTTCCTGTAAACAAAACGAGTTTTTTAACCACTGTTCTCAGCTTTCAAAAAAAAAAAAATCAAATTAATCCAGACTTAATCTGTATAATGCACAAGAACAGAACATTTCTTAGGACTCCTAGTACTTGACTTTTGAGTAACAAAGGGTTGGAGAAAAATGAACCACCTTTAAGACACAACTTCGTGGATAATTTCTGTTTAATTCTTCTCAGGCCAAAAAACTCCCAACTTCCTTGGAGAATTCATCCTTTTCCAGGATGGGGAGGAGGGGAGAAAGAAAAATATAAAACAAGAATTACTCCACTCTCCATGGGTGGATGTCACAACTCTTGGTGTTCCAAGTGCAAATGTCAGAACCAGGGGGAAGGAGGCGCGAGGGGGTGGAAGGGAGGGAGGCTGC